TGGCCTAATAAGTTAATTCCAAATAGTGGCTTGTTTACTAATAAATTCAGCATAGAGCATAGCACTGACTCATGAGTTTCAGCTACGACTTACGTACATAAGGTCTGCCAAAAAACCACTGTGAGCAAAAACACGTTGCTTACAGTGTTCCTTTAGTCCATCTCTAACATGAAATACACAAGATCTTCAAGAAGATCGGTCACTTCTGTCCTGGTTTCATAATTTCAGCTCACGAATTCTGCAGTCAAGAATAAACAGATCTTGAATCTGCCGGTTGATATTGTGCCATAGTAGAGAACTAGAACCTCGAGTTGGAAATTTTCCAGCTTAAATTTTCCAGAAGTTTTGCAAGTTAAATTCAATTACAAACTCTAGTCATGGGTCAGAAACAAACCATATTTAGGGCAAAACCAGGCTAAATAACTTTTGCTGTGTGGTGGATAAAACCCACGAAATTTTGAAATCGTAACTCTGTGCATTCTTTTGAATTAGCTTCATACTGCCGCAAACATTGAACTAACACATTTCGAGCAGTGCAAAAGGCGGTTTCAACCTTTCTCGTGAGCGAGTGAAATCCTGATACTAAAGCCTGGTTTTGCTGTCTTTGGGTTGAAGTACGTTAGCTTACAAGCAGCATCATCTCGTTGTATTATTCTTTTGCGTCAGTGATTTGCACGAAAATGAATGAGTTATGTAACCGGCGCATTTTTCCAGTGATAGACTTGTTATTGTTTTCACTCTCGACTTCTTATGCGAATGTTCACGAAGGCTGGGTGGCTGAGTACGTGCCGACTGAGTACGTTCATCTTTCAGTTCCACTGGCCTACTTTCGAAACTCAGCTCGGATCGTGTTGTTGGTGGCGTTACGAGGAAATCCGGCAGCACTGCAAATATATTTCCCTTCAGTTCATCTGATTGTGTTAAATGAGTGCTTAAAGTGAGCAGAAACTGACAGCACTCTTTTGGGGTGACTCTTACATTCCAGGCGGGATCATTTCGCTTTCTGGATATTACATGACTCACTGAAACAGGGAACCAGTTTGAAAAAGTGCAAAAGATAATACCGACCTTGACGAGAAGAGGACTTTGTTCGATTTTCGCCAGTTCTCGACTGAGTGGACTCCACCTTCTTCTCTTTTTCGCTCCCTTTTGCGACACTGCTCGACTCTTGTGTTTCTTTTTCGCGAATGGAGCTTCTAGCAAAAGATTTCCAGTGTGGCTTATGTTTAAAAGTGGTTGGCGGCCGTTTAGCCACACCATTTTTGGTAGGAGCTATCATGTCGACGAATAAGTTCTCCCACAAGCTCTTCCTCTTTTTTGAAAATGAACTACGTTTTTTAAATCCCTTATCACCTACTGCTCATGTGATAAAAGTTCCTGATAATTTGATAGGCAAATGTTGATTATCACTACATTTGTTGAAAAGCTGGCACGCTACTGCACTTGAAATTTGTGGCTTAGTTGGTACTAGTGGATATTTGTATTACCTAGTTGACATTTCATGGAAACCGAAGCTGGTAGAAAATCATATTTTTCTCGACGCTTCGATGTCCTATTCTGTTCTATCAATTTTAATATGGCTGGCTCATAAAACTACTTTGCCGATCACTTCCTCGTGGGTGCTTAGTCCTCAGATCGTTTACCCTGGCTCTTTCATCGTTCCTTTTGTTTCACCGCTCAGAGTCCGATTTAAACACAACAGTATAAAGCTGTGCACAAATCCTCTGTATAAATGTCTTTCATTTTCA